GTGTCTATTTTTCTTTCTTGCAGTTCTGTTATTATACATTGGTATTTGGGTTAAAACATCTTTTTCTTCAGGGACCGGAAGGCGGATGTTTCCTGGGCCACAGCCTGGCTATTTCGAGGGTTCCTGTTGTGCCAGCTGATGCCATTCTCTGGGAGTGGACCTTCAGCTCTGGAAAGGAGCAAGCCCGAAGTAGGTGGGCCACGTGGAGCCTGTGGGGACGCAGGGCTAGGAGAGCCAGGCGACCTGTCCTTTCTTTGAACCGATAGACCTTACTGCCTGTAACACTGAGTCTGTAAGAACGGCATGACATCATTCTGTAGTCCCTTGGGATTTTATGTGAACCTAGGGTACCACGGTGATAACATTGTCCCCTTTTTGCTCTTCCGTGGTTGGGCTGGGATGAGCGGAAGTTGGGTGGTTCTGCCCCACCTCTTCCAAGCTGCTTCTCTCCCCTCGTCCTGTCACAGCAGTCCTGTGTTCGATAGCACTCTGACTTCAGGGAAGCCCAAAAGATGGGACAGAATCTGTAGGACCTATTCCAGGGGCATGCCAATGCCAATGAAAAGGGGAGGGGGCATCCCTCTGGCTTGTAGTCCTCCAGACAGAGCCAACTTGGGATGTAACTTGACATTCCAATCCCTTGCTCCTGTGGACTAAGTCCCCCTGAGCCTGCAGGCAAAGCCTCTTCCCCTAAAACTCAGTCTCATTAAGGGAGGAATTCTTAGCTCTGAAAAATACAGTATGTCTCGGCACATGTGCAAATTGGCCACTAGACACCACAAGGGAAAACATATTCATAAAGGGAGCTATGTGACTGCAGGGGCCAGAGGCCCCAGCATTGCATGTTTTGCAGCAACTTGGTCTTTGCCTAAACACCCTGAATACAGTGTATGCTTCTAATCTGTCTTCTCTAAGATCTCTAAAATCATGCTGAAGCCATGTCCCTCAGTAATTTCACTGTTGAATTGTGATGCTCCCTTAGATTACAGAATGTATGCAGAAATGACAGTGGCCCTTCCAGTCTCTCTTACCCACAAAAGTCAGGAACCACAGGCTAATCCTCCACTCTCCAGAATCCCAAGTTGGTTGTACAGGGTTTTTTTTTTTTTTTTGGTTTGGTTTTGCTCTTTGTCTGTAATCTCTTAAAAATATCCTTACCTGGGCGCCTGGGTGGCTCAGTTGGTTAAGCGACTGCCTTCGGCTCAGGTC